CATGCCCGAAACTCCGAAGATTAGAGTACTTGCTTTTGCAAGAATGGACTTTGCCAGAAAGACACACCCAAAGGGGTGTTTGGCTAAAAGATGAAATTGGAATTAGAATTGAAAGTTGTGTGTTACTAAATAGTGAAGTTACTAAACCAACCCCAAAGTAGTTAAATTTCAGAGACTTAACTTTCATACCACAACAATATTGGGCAACAATAATCCTGAAATTGGTATATATACCAATTGTGCCTATAATGTTACAATATATGCTCTATATATATTTAACCTAGATCCTTTATGCCCTAATATTGAGATTAGTTAGTTAATGCCAAGTCTCTAACTATCTGCATTCCCTAAAGAGAAAAGTGGGATGTGACCAAGAGGTGGTGTAACTAATTAGAGACACTTTTTATGTGTAGACAATTCAAATTAGTACGCCACCGGTATTTCTTTCGCTCAAAGACAAGTCTTTTGATACGACTGATGACATCATGTCTCTCAAACACGCACAGACAGTCATTATATGTATCTGTACAGTCATTGTTTGTGCATGTCTATGAGCCACAGTGGTATCAAACTATGGCATTAAAATTTCATTTTCCTAATTAATTACACTTCCTCCATCCGACATCTTCTCATTTGACTTTTCTTGGTCAAAGTTTACAAACTTTGACCTCGATATTTTAAAAAATACAATGTTTTGATATAAACGTAGTGCCAATAGTTTTCATATGAAATGCAGTTTTGGAGATTATTAAATTTTCATAAAATATATCTATGCATAAATGTAGATACTAATAGTCAAAATGTTACATTAGAAACTGAGAAAAATCAAATGAGAAGATCGTTTCCAGACGGAGGGAGCAATTAGTTGGGATGCTCTACCAAAAAGAAAACCCCAGTACAGATAGCATCGCAGTTCATAAATGCTCATCTATGACTCATGTACTATGTTACTGATGGTCACAATTTTCTCTCCCATATAATAATTGCATGGTCACATTACTCCAGCATTAAAGTTTGAGGTTTGTGTATGGAAAGCTATGACCAATAAGAGAAGTTCCCAACATCTATCACCCATCACATTCAAAGTACTTTCAGCTCACTTCCAACTATCTATTTGTACAAATCACTGTTCAGATTTAAGTATTTTACAGCTGTCTTTTTATATTTTATTTTTTTTAATTTAAATTTCTTGGCTCCATTGTGCCCAACGGCTCTTAAAAATATTCTAGTGTCTGATATTTAGCGCATTGTGGTATTAAACCGCAAATGCCAATGCGGAGCAAGTCAACGAAATTTCTTTTCCTCCCACACAAAAAGCAACACATGTTGTCTCATCATATGCAAGTTCTTATGCGCACATAAGGCGCACATGAACCTTTTTATGCGATTGATAAGCATTTATATGATTTGTTTTTTAAAATTTGCGTTATATGAAAGTTCGTGTGCATCCAAAACCCCTAATCATAATGTATCAGATGTCTAACGTCACACTAGAGCATAACTATCTGAGCTCTCTTGTTCTAAGACTTCTATTGATGCATATCAGGTTTTCTACAATACTACATACAAGGAGATTTAGAGTGTGTTTGGTAGATGGAGAAGAAATAAAGGGAGATGAAGTAGGTAAGTGAGAAAAAGACAAGTGAAATTGGTGACAAAAAGATATGGAGTAGAAGTAAAAGTTGGGTTGAAAAGAAAATAAAGTAGGACTAAAGAAATATTTATACTAAAGTTGTTTAGTAGGTAAAAAAGGGAATATATATGGTTAAAAAGAAAAGAATTGGATTTCCTCTAATTTGGGGTAAAACTTTAAGAGCCTCATTCCTATTTCCCACCCTCCAAAACACATGAAATTCATGGAAAATGTGACTTCCATTTTCTTCCCACCTTTCCACCCTCTCAAACACACTTAATATTTGGCCAGCCCATACAGTGTAGCTGGTAACTAATGGCTAATTGTCGAATTAATTGGGACTTACCTTAACCTCAAAGCCAGTACTCCACTATTAGAAGCCACCTAGAGAGGAAAAGTATGAAGCCCATTGGTCCTCACATATTCTTCACTTCCTGTCTTTCTTCCTTGAGCCTCCCATTCTTCTGTCTTCTTCATTTCTCTTCCTGCATGAATTACTTCCCATCTTCATTTGCCACCAAAGAAATGGAAACAAGCAAATCAGATGGGAAAAGAAGCATAAATGAAACCGTGTTGGCAGAAGAGGATGAAAGTGAAGATGTTGAGGAAGACAACAAGAAGAAGAGAGCATTGACTGTATCTGGAAGGAAGCCATCATCTGGTGGAGTGGCGGCGGCACAGCTGTTCTGTCAGGTGGAAGGCTGCGGGATGGACATGAACAATGTGAAGCCTTACCATCGCCGCCACAAGGTCTGCGAGGTTCACGCAAAGGCTCCATCAGTACTTATCAATGGAGTCCATCAGCGTTTCTGTCAGCAATGCAGCAGGTAAAAAGACACATACCCTGCTTTCGATTACCATTCTACAGATGCAATTCATATGCCCATTTAAGAGTTATGAATCAGTGAATTGAAGAAATAATTCTATAGATCATTGAAAATGATCAATAAACAAAAACATAAAAAAAAACATATTTTCCATTTTCACCATTGCATTTAATCACTGCAAGTTCCACCCTGCCACCAGGTCCTCAAAGATCTCTTACTCCCAAGGTCGGTTTGGAACTTGAAAATTAATATTGGAACTTGGAAGGAGAAAAAATGCGGACGAAAATAAGAGAAGGATATTTCTTGATAAATATATTTTAGATATTTATCCATATATATATCAAAATGGAAAATTAAACTTCCCTTGCTTCTCAGTTTATATCAAGTTTTGGACAGTAAATGCAGGTTATGCAGCAATGCATCTAGGGTGTAATGGAAACAGTCTCTCTGTCTTTACAGGGATAAGACCGCATACATCTTGATCCACCCGTGTTGGTGTTGGGATTATACTGGGTTGTTGTATCTATACTCATTTTGTTTATTTATGCCTATTATATATAAGAACTAGGAAATCTAATTGTATGTAAAGTTTGAAAAGAATTATTCACATTCCATATTCTTTGGAGTTTCCATAGTAAAACCAAACATGAAAAAAAATTTCTTAGCATTTTTGTCTCCTCAAATACATTACCAAAATGTTTAAATTTGAAGGAGCATTTTTTCTTCGTATTCATCATCATGTACACTATGTGTTCAGGTTTCACGAGTTAGAGCAGTTTGATAATGCTAAGAGGAGTTGCAGGAGGCGTTTGGCAGGTCACAATGAGCGCCGACGGAGAGCTACAAATGATTCTCATGCAGAAGGCTCGAGCTAAAGATATAGAACCAATGGGAGAGAATACCAACTCCCAAGTTTGTTTGAACTCATAAGAAGATTATTAGCATGTGAAGCACATAACTTATTGGTGAAATTTCTGGAGTGATCTCTATCTTCTGTCAGTCCTTATAGTGCAAAACTTCAGTTACAGATTCTTGCCTCTATCCAATCCCTTCTCCAAATGGGAGGGATATATGGAGAAGAATATTAGCATTTATAAGGAGTTTACTACTCCATCCCGTCCCAAAAAAAACGGTCTTGTTTCAATAATTTTTTGTCGCAAAAACAGAGTTGCATTCGATCAAGCCAAACTGATTTTTATGTAATTTAAAAAAAAAATAGAAACAATTTAAATATGATAAATTTGAAAAATTAGTGAACAACTCTGTAATTTTTAAAAATGACTTTGTGGCGCACAGAAGGAGCATATTTTATAATCAAATGCTACTTTCAGATCTCACTTTCACTCATCATAGGCTCATTCGGTAAATTTTCCTGTTCTTAAAAACCTTGTTTTTCAAATTTCTAAAATACAGACATATATAGAAATGTGGTTTGCGAAATTAAAGTATGAGTTGTGGTGTATTTATATACTCTTGTTAACCATGTCCCTTGGGGTTTAGTTAAGCATTGTTGAAAGATTATACTCTTCATGATTTTCATATACTCCGTCTTAACTAAATCGTTAGAATACTCTTCATATTTAGCATTCCAACAGCATAATTCATCAAAGGACTCCATTACCCATTAGAAATTGAATGTTTCTTAAAATTTACATAGAATATTCTATCATCATCAATGCTTCAACATAGTCCCCTAAGGGATATATGGGTCTGTTCATTTCTGTTTGTCTTCAAGTTTTCTGTTTCGTTTAGTTTTCTATACTCCATTATCTCTTTTATGTTTCGCCTTATTTTGTTTTCTACTATAGAAAACATGTTTACAAGCAATATTATGCATATGCTACCGGGTTGATGGTGGCAATGGTCAGTGGTGGTGGTGGTGTTCATCGACAGTACTGACAATAACGGCAATCATTGGCGGGCAATATTGATAACTACCAATGGTCAATGGTAGAGATTTTGGTTATCAACAAAATTGTTTGGGTCAACGAGCTATTTAGAACACTGCTTGTAGCATGAATCAACTAAGGCATATGCAACTAATCACTAGAAGAGTCATCATATATATCATTATACACTTACACCACAAAAAATGCTCCTTTACAGGATAATAATCATAAAAAAAGTGAAAATGAGACTAAGAGCAAAAGTGATGTACCTTTGAAGCGATCTTCGTGAGTGGGCAACTTCAAAATTTTATGTCTTCGCTTTCCATTCTACTACTAGTATATTGAACCTCTATTTGAATTCAACCTTTGACACCTCAGATACTTAGTTTAAATCCTCGGAATGTTGCACTCCTGAATCGAAAACAAAGTTTGTGACAATTGATGAACTGAACACTACCTTCTCTTTCATGGTTCCACTTAGCATAACTTTCATAGTATTCTTCAAAAAGATACCTTACATTTACATAATGTCAGTGCTTAGTTATTAAGTAACCTTGTTCCACTTAGTGTGTGTGTGTGTGACCACTGTTATAACTCAGCATATACTGGTTCTAGTCACATAGATTAAAAAGAGAAGTGGAATAGTAAACCACTAAATCAAATGTTTCATTATTCAATAATCACAAATTTCACTGCATGAAGAATTTTACATTCCCTTGTAATCGACATTGTCTAACTTCTTTCAGATTGCAAGAAATAAATATTACTCCGTATACAATAAGCATTGCAGACTAAATCTCCTACTAGAAAAAATCATGTCTTCATGCTTCGTGTATTGCAAAAAGCCTTTTGACTACCATCCTCGTCACAGAAAGCATCCTTCACAAACACAATACAAGGATGACAACTCTTCGACCTTCTAAAGACACACCAACCAAGCCAGACCGAGCCTTCTTATGACAAAAGGCCAAAAAAATCCTGCACAGATAAACAGCCAATACAATGAAATTGATCAATCTGTTTTTTTCTAGAAGAACCTATGTTGTGATGCTCATTAAGAAGCATGTGAAATGACATGTCAGATTAGTTAAACAATGGAAGCATAGTCGAGCCTTGTCAAGAATGAAGCATTCAACCAACAACATCAGAAAAAATACCTAAATGAGTTGGCAACCAATTTTGAAACTGCTTTAATCCCGGCTCATTCCTAAGATCTTTGCCGAAAGCTCCCATGTAACTATGGCAGCAGCATTAGCTGGGAAAGCCCTAACTAGAGTAGGGCTTAGGCCAGCATAACACCCTCTAAGTCCGGATACCCTGTAAATCTTAACACAACGAGTCATTCAAGCATTCTGCTTTAAAACCATCGCTACAATAAAAAGCTAAGGGTTTGTTTGGATCTCAGAAATTTTTCTACTTCCACCATCCCATATTTTTCTCTTTGACACTTTGGCCAATAATATCTCTATTTATATATAAACATATACTCCGTATTATAAAAATAAGATGTTTCAAAACTACGTTTCAAAATCAATCTATTGATGCTAAATTTATATCACAATTCAATATACTTTTCATTAATTTGCAGGCAAACTTTAAAAATGTTGACCACAAAAGTCAAAACCGAGACGGATGAGTATTATTTAAAAACAATGAAATATAGCTCTATATACACACCTATATATATATATATATATATATATATATATATATATATATATATATATATATATATATATATATATATATGGAGACTTCTAAAAAGCCTTAGTCATCAAATGTGATCATCTTCATATATTCCTGAGTAAAGCTACACATCGAAAGACTAGTTTCCTTAGTATTTTTCCCCTTTTCCTGCCATTTTTTGAGTTCCAAACATAGCCTAAAGGATGAAGCTAAATACCGTTTGTAAAATCTGAAAAGGATTGCGTGTATGGTTTTTCTCAGGGGTAGTTTGGATTATAGTTTTTGCGACGTCCAATGGCAGAATAGCACACCAGCACTGATTAGCACAAAGTAAAGAAAAACATGTGTCATTATAGCACAGATCAAAACTAAAAGGTTAAACAATATGGAAGAGATGGGAAGTAAATCAGATAAATCAGGTGGAGCAGTGAGCTTCCAGACAATTAGTGCTAAATTATAAATAATACTCATACACACCAATATACCACCAATGCCTCCACTCATTATGCCAACTCCCACATCAACCAATTGATTTGACTTAGATGAAGCCCCTTTCAGTTGAAGATGCATCTGATGACGTACATATTCATATGTGCTAAAGAAGACGGCATTTCCCACAGATTCTCTTAACAACGTCGCAAAGCCCCCGCGAAATATACCTTTAACCTGGGGACAGTTTTTTCAGCTTTGATCAGTATGGTCATGTTTGGCAACTAGCTGTTTGCATTGCACTGTTAGCTAATTGTGATAGCCATTTGAACATTGACGTTCCTTGTTTATTTTAGCTGTTTTTACCAATTTTTTACTTTTGATTATAATACAAAGATGTTTGGTACTCAGAATTAGTTATTCCTCACCATTTTTTATTTATAAAATGATTTTGTTTCAAAAAGCTTCGAATGTAAGATTTTCAAAATTAGATTTTTCATCTACTATAACCATTTAAAAACAATGTTCACCAAACATTAAATTTAGTTTCTTGAAATAGTCAAGCAGCAAATTTGAGCTGAAAAAACTAAAAGCTCTCCAATGGCTCATTACAGAACGAGACCAGAGCAATAAAACTTTGAGCAAATTTTTGCTTGCGGCTTACCCCTTCAATTTTTATTGTTTTAATGGCGCATTCAAGAGGACCGCTGTATCTAGTCGACCTTGGTAGCAGAGAGCCTGAGCTTTGAATTTGCATCCTACACTGGAGCAGACAATCTTAATTCTTAATAGAATAAAGCTGCAATATGATGGAAAGAACTAATGTGAGAATGCTTACCTTAACCAGCTCTGAAGGGCACAATACAAAGCTGATTAAACCTCCTGCAAATGCAGCTGATGGAATAATTACATTAGCCTGTGGCTGGCCACCATCAATGCCTCCCTTCAAACAAAAGAAATAAGGTTTGTCAGAGTCTGAAACTTTGGATGTAAGAGACATCGGCAAATAGAAATGGTCAATAAGGTTATCCAAATAATAACCACATAACAAACCTGAAGGAACCTTTTTGTCTGTGAATAAATTCCAAAAGCAAATGAGCTTTCAAAAGCCATCCCAACAAAAGAAGATGACGCTCCTCGATATAGCCCTTTCACCTGTGAAAAGCACTTACCAATTAGTGACTTGGAATTTTAAAAATGAGACTTTTTTGGGGGGAATGACTTAATACACATGTTAGCATCATACCTATTTTACTGAAAAGCAAACACATAATAAAACCTAGCGGAGAGACTTTGAAAAATGTGCAAAAGCTAAGAGTAGAAAATATTTGTAAGTTGTAACACATCTTGTCAAGTTTAGAAACATCAAAACCAAAGGCTAGTAAGTTAACCTTGGATAGCTTTTCCACATTGCTACAGCTAACTAGTTCAAAACAAATACATCAATGCCATAATTGTGAACTTCTCCCTTGGTTTGAGTGATAGGAAGCCCACTCAACAAGATTCATGGGGAAGATCACACTGGTTTGGGCCCCAGCAGAGGAGGAAGCATTGACTCATTGTGTATCATTTGGTTGAGAACAGTACGAACAAATACTACATTGTAATCGACTTAACAACACTAAAAAATGCTGTAATCGTGATCTAAGAAAGGATGTCATCATGATTCATGAGGTAAGGGATGACACTATTGTGATGTCATATTGTCACGACTTCTAGAAAAGCTATTTAAATGAGAATTATCAAATCTTTCTCCAAGTCTCTAACTCAAGATTCAATTAATTCCACTAATCTCCGCCAATAAACGATCCCTCCATCTTTCCTCTAAATGATCAATCTAGCTACAGAGCACTAAATTTCTGTCATGAAGCACACAAAGAAATACGCAAAGAGAATCCATAAAACATCAGAATAATGACTAACTCACAATTATACCAGAAAAGTTATTTTGAAATTTAAAAAAAAAAGTTGGAATCATATACTCCTTCAGCCTTGAGAATCCTAGCAGCACAGTGCAATCCATTCCTGTACTTGATACCGTCGGCAGACGTGTTGTGTTTCTGGAGATTTACCTGACAAACACAAATTGCAAACTTATTCCTTAACCACGAAAGCTCTCGATTTCATCAATTCGCGACGGAACAGAGAGATGCTCGAAGAAGATGAAAGTGAAATTGGTGGAAATGGAAATAAATACCTTGACTGTGTCAAACGGGTGGCCGGTAATCACAGTGGCAACTCCGGCTAACATCCCGGCTACGTAGTCTTTGTACCCTGAACTCTCCCCCACCATTTTTCTTTCTCTCTCTCTCTGGGAGTTGCAGTTTTTGGGGGCTTTTTTGTTTTCTCCAGAGGGGGGTTTCGGCTAGGTGTCGGTGGCTGGTTGGACCCGTATCCAAACTGTTTGTTTTTATGACGCTGTGGCTCTTCACGCGGCGCCGCGGCTGGTTTGGGGCTACGTATAGGGTATATATTTTCCGGTAATAATTTTGCTCAGTATGTGGAGCCGGCAAAGAGGTTACCCGCTAGATATGTAACATTTTGATGGTTACACAAAATGTTACTCCATTAACAAAAATTTATATTGACACAAAGTATTGGTGCATTAACAAAAATTAGTAATATACTAGCATCAAATGTTGGTGCATTCATGCGATATACAAAATGGGACACAAATAGCTTTATCCTAACTTTAATGATGGTTAGGGTGGGCACGAGTCAAAACACTTCAAAGCTTTAGTTGTCTCGATCGTAATTTGTTTTTAGAAGTGGGTCGGAATGGTCAGGAAGGCGATGTTTAGTCTTACATTTTGTCATTTACTTTGATTACGGTATGAATGGACTTTGGTGACAAAAATAAAAATCATACATTTTGTAAGAATGTTGGGAAATTACAAAGGATTGCGGGAAAAACAAGAAAAAAATATCCGAACTTATAACACGTTCGGATTTACAATAAATTAAAAAACATATCTTCGGAAGCACAAACGGACCCGAAGCAGAACTCGAATAGAGCAGGAGCCTTGATGAGCGAGCAGAGACGTCAGACGAACAGTAGGGGCGAGCCGGAACAGTACTTCGAACAAGAAATTAGGAAAACGGAGTCGCTGGAGCTTTCCTTAAGGTAGTATTGACCGCATCCCGCACTTGGCAAACGTGGGCAATCTCCTCCCATAAGAAAACCACAACGTGCAAAGTTTAGAGCGGTAAAACAGTGCACCGGCGAATGAGAACGGCAGGAAGTTATTGCCGGAGTAGATGATCAGAAACGGGGAGAGTGCCGGAAAGTACTTCATTTTTTTGAGTGATTTCGAGTGTACTCTTCCCTGCAACCAAGCCCTCCTTTTATAGGAGGGAAGTTCGCTCTTCAAGTGGACCGTCGGACATTACGAGGCGTCACAAGTGACTTTGCGCGTGTCGTGTCGTCACGTGCCGAGCCGAGCCGGCCGAACAGCGGCGGCGGCACGCGAGGGATCCTTTCTTGTTCCCTTCATAAATCCAATTAAATGCCTATGTTTAAATATGGGAATACGAAAGCTTCAAGTTCCGGTGTGGGACAAGGGTTTTACTCTTTCCACATGTTCAATTTCGTGAATTAATTTCTCATTCACCCGAGCACTATTTTTGGCGTATAATATGTCGAAACACTCATGTCACTTACGAGATTAATCGTCCATAATTATTTCATAAAATAATTTTGTGCACCCTACCGAATTTATGTCTGAAAATGTTCAGTTTAAACTAAAAATTCCAACACATTTTTGTTCTCATGGTGCATTTTACAAAGCAGGTAATTCACCATGGTGTATTTTACAAAGTATGTAATGAATTTTACAAAGTTACATTTAATTACTATCACATTTTTTCTAATTGTTTCATATTTTTTAATTTTTTATGACCCTTAGGTCTCACAATTTAAACCACCACACATGCATTCTTATTTTTTTCTTAAGATCTCATTCTAACGAGATCCAAAATCTATTATATGTATGCATGTATGTGTGTGTATATATATAAATGTATATATATAAGTAATAAAACTAATGCTCCCTCTAATAAATAAACAATTTATGATATTTGACTAATTTAAGCTATAATAAATTTAATTTATTTGAGTCTTGTAATTATATTTAAAAAATAAAACTAATTAAAGATTTAAAAAAAATATTTGAAATTTTACAAAGCAAGAGGTAATTTTATTTTTTTCAAAATATTTACCCAACATTTAAAAAAAATATTCAAATGAAATATTTACATGTTGTGTAGCCCGTATTAGTATTAAAGTTTATTTAATCATAGCTATAACATTCATAGGTTTCAAATCTTTTCAGAAAAATAAAAAGAAATCTTTTAAAAATATATACTTTATGGTGAGCAAGTTTGTCACAAAATACATCGTTGCTGATATGGCCGGCGGTGAGCACCATAACATATAATATATGGGGTAAGGGCTTCGATTCCTAATGCATGGACGACACATTTTTTGAAAAATTTCCAACAAAAAATGGTTCTATGGTTACAGCGGTCGGTTTTAACCAGTTTGAACTGGTTTGATACTGGATATGGTCTGAAGGGCAGGACCGGACCGGTTAGGCCACCAGTTCTCGGTCCGGTCCGATTTTCAAAAATATGAACAATATCAATTACATAGAAAGTTGGATTCATTATTCATTGGATTGTTGTAAACTCAGTACTTTATTCATCATAGATTGAGGTATTTACACATAAATGTAAGGAGGTAAAGTCTGGGTAATTAAGGAAACAAGATATTCTAAATAATAGTAGTAATATATCTGTCATATCTAACACTCCCCTCTCAAATATATCATTGTTCATTATACACTAACAAGATTATACTACTGGATAATGTTGGTTAGTTTCTTCAGGACCTATATTAACTAATACCACAGGATCAGTTAGGCTACCTCATTAAAAACCTTACTAAGAACATCCAGTGGGACAAAACTTAGTCAAGGAAAAAAGAATACAGCGTGTATTATGCTCCCCCTTAAACTGATTTATCTCCTTTATCCTGCAGAGTCCAATCTTCCTTATGAGTTGCTCAAAACTATGTCTAGGCAGAGATATGGTGAATAAGTCTGCCAAATTTTTGCTTGATTTAACTTGAAGAACATTGAACTCACTCTCCTTTTGCAGATCATATGTTGAGAAAAACATTGGTGAGATGTACTTCGTTCTGTCTCCCTTGATGTAGCCTTCCTTGATCTGAGCTATGCATGTTGCATTGTCTTCACATATAATTATAGTATTCTTCTGGATTTCTTACAAACCGCATGCTCCTTGTATATGATCAATCATCGATCTCAACAAGACCCATTCTCGGTCAACTTCAAAAAGTGCTACCAATTCAGCTTGATTTGATGAGGTTGCTGTTAGAGATTGCTTTGTTGACTTCTAGGAAATTGTTGTACCACCGTACGTGAACACATAACTTGTTTGAAAACGTACATTGTGTAGATCTGATAGATACCCAACATCAGCATACCCTACAAGTTGGTACTTTTCATCTTTCTTCTAAAAGAGACCTAAGTCTCGTGTCCCACAAATATATCGAAATATTTGCTTTATCCCATTCCAATGTATATGTGTTGGCTTTGAACTGAAACTTGCTAATAAATGTACAGAGAATGCAATATCATGCCTTGTATTATTTACAAGATATATGAGTACACCGATTGTACTTAAATATGGTACTTCTAGACCAAGTACGTCTTCATCTTCTTCTTGGGGGCGATAAAGATCTTTATGTATATCTAAGGATCGGACGACCATGGGTATGCTTAACAGATGTGCTTTGTCCATATTAAAACGTACTAACATATTGTAGATGTAGTTTGACTGATGGATGAATGTGCCACTGCACAAGTGTTCAAATTGAAAACTAAAATATAATTTTGTTATGCCAAGGTCTTTCATCTTAAATTCTCCTTTCAAGAGTTCAGCAGTTTTTTCTATATCGTCAAGAGATCCAATGATTTTTATATCATGAACATAAACTGCTTCAATAGTAATTTTAGAGAGTGATCTTTTTATGAAAACACATGGGGTAATTACATCAGATTTAAAGTTATGCTTTTCAAGATATTCGCTAAATCAATTGTACCACATATGATCAGATTGCTTGAGACGTTATAAGGATCTTTTGATTTGTATAGCGTACATGTCTCGAGGTATTGATTTTAATGATTCTAGAACTTTGAACCCTTTAGGTATTTTCATATAGATGTTATTCTCAAGTGTCTCGTATAAATATGCTGTGACAACATCAATAAGTTTTATCTAAAGTCCTTCTGAGATTGCGAGTCCGATTAAAAATGTGAGGGTTATCACATCCACTACAGGGTAGTACGTTTTCTCATAATCAACTCCTAGGATTTGGAAAAACCCTTTTGTTATAAGTTGTGTCTTATATTGCTTAATCTCATTTTTTCATTTCTTTTTATTGCGAACACCCATTTATAACTCACTGGTTTGACGTCTATTAGTGTTCAGACTATAGGTCCGAAAACATTTCATTTGTGAAGTGATCCAAGTTCATTGTTCATTGCCTTTTTCATTTTGGCCAATCATTCATGTACATGCACTCTTCTAGAATTTTAGGTACGTAATCTTTCTCAGTACATCCATTATGATAGCATATGCAAAAATTTCATCAACACGTATTTCATGTCGGTTCCATATTGTATTGTCTTGTTGATATGTTGATAATTTATGCACATCTTATCATCTTTTGATAAATTTATTGGTTTGGATTTTAATAATCATTAGAGATTAATTGTGCAATGCCCCAATACATACCCTAAAAGTTATTGAATAAATATTCAATTAATCAAATTTGTTTTGATTAAAATAAATTATTGTTGGACCTTAGGCCAAAATAAAATGTGTTTTGATATCCAATATCACAATCTGGATAAAACTCATACGTGAGATAAATCCAATATGTTGACTTATTATGTGATCTTGGTTGGGAACCTGAGTACAAACCCAAATTAAGAATAAATGAAGAAATCGTGTATAATAAGAACTTTGAAATGGTTTATTGAAATAAATATACAAATTATGTCGTTGAATAGAGTTTAACTGTCTGATCGCAATGGTGCAAACAGATTTCAATTCGGAGAAAGTTAGACAAAAAAGTGTACCCCGATTGGAACCAAAATTGGTCCCAATCAAGGAATTGCGTATCAAATATTGGAAATCTCCGCTAAACCCACTAAGCCGATCGTGAGTCACAAATGACTCAGCAACAATTGGCTACTTCCTTCTCCAATTGCCATAAATGGGCACCTTCATTCCTCTCAATTCTTCACTAAACTTATTGAAATTTGTCCTATGAGAATCTGGAGAGTGAAGGGAGTAGTTTGATAGTATTAGTTGCCGTCGAGGTTGCCTGAGCAAGCCGTGGTGGTTGCCGGAA